AAATAAATTCTTTAAAAATCAGACAATGTGATTTTCTGGATTTTTTCCCCATTTTGTCTCTCATAGTTGGGCTGCACACAAATGCAATCAATCAATCTCAATACTTACCGTAGCTGTACAGGTTGTATATATTCTTTTCTAAATCTTTTTAGTTCTGCACTAAGAGGTTGGTCTCCATTCTCCATAGCTATACGATCTGCTTCTGTTGGTTCAGGTTCTGGAATTTCAAATCTAATATGGGATGATGAGGTAAAATTTAAATTACTAAGTATAACATTTGTATATTAATTTATGAAGGTGGAAAAAAACTAATTGCAACAAACAATGCAGAGAAGCATTTAATTTTTTATCATTCGGGAAGTCACAGGGGATCAGGAAACAGGACAACCACCCAACAGAATTATAAGCTTCTGAGAGAGAGTGCAGATGCAATAATCCTAAGTATGCCTTGAGACGGCATAGCATTTTAATATTATTTGCAAACACAAATGTTTACTTATGGTAAATAGGTGTGATATAAATGTATATTTTATTGATTAAATCCTACATACAAATAGAAAATGTGAAAAATGCTAAAGATTTATTTAAAACACATGGAGAAATTCAAGTGTACCAAGTCCCTTTTTGTTAAATAACCATGACTCAGCATAATGCACTAACCGGACAACTTGCAGATCTTATATCATGACACTGTCTGCCATCTTGCCAATTCTGACCCTCATTGCAGACACTGCTTTGTAGGCTTGTTGATTTATCTTAATTTAATTTATTATTTTTTATGGAATAAACTAGAATGAGCTTAAGATAAATGATCCAGTAAAAATTTTGCTCACATGATCTCTGATTTACTTGGGTGATAAATAATTCATTCTGAGGCTACATCCTCACATTAAATTGGGGAGATAACAACCTCCTTCTCAAGAATAAACGTAAAAACTCTCAAGAAGGGGAAAAAAATCATAAGGCAGCATTTCAGAAAGATTCACTTACCTTTCTATCAGGAGACTCAATAATTCCTGAGGCTTACAAAAAGATCTGTATGTGGTAAGAAATGTTCGAACAAAATTGGGATCTAGGATAGAAAAAGAATGATTCAGACAGCATATGAACACCTGTGATGACAGTTAAAAGCATCCACTACAACAACCTAATACAGATCATATAATAGCAACTGTGCTTTAATGATGACTGAGGAAACAGGAAAAGGATATTAATTCCTGATGGATTTCTTTTCTTGTAAGCAGAAGGATACTCAGTTCAGGACATTCTCACTAAGGGACTGGTTAAGCCAGACTAATGACAACTAATGACATTCTCAGGAGACTGATCTGTCCTTAGATTCCCAGGGAACTCAATATAGGAGATTGAATGTAAAAGAGTAAAAAAAGAAAACAGGAAAGCAAGCTTCTTAGTGCAAACGTAGACAACCGAAAGTCCTTCTGATGTACTGAATTCCCATCAAGCCCATCTAACATGTCCAATATGAGCACTGTAAATGAGCTCAACTGAAAGCAGGTAAGGATTATCTTTAGCCTTTATCTCAAAAATGGAGCAGTGGCAGAGAATACCTTTTCAGAATAGACAAATATTCCAAATAAACCTTTCAGGAAAAGTTAAACAACCTGTTTCAAGCTGGAGGAGAAAGGCTGAAGCTAAGTACTCTACCCACTTCCACTACTTTTGTAATGACTGGCAACTCATGAAAGACTGAATTTAACTTCGCCCATGGGAAGGCCCATGCTTACTATAGTGCACATGGAGAAACCAACTTGCAACTGCTGCCTTTCTTTCCTTCTTCAACTAGCTGGAGAGAAAATGATTTGGAAAAAGAAATAAACTCCTCCTTATAGCTTATGCATATAAATCTTTTTCATTTAATTGTTTACATTTCTCATCTCTTTCAGGAGCATTTTTCCTACCCAAGCATTTTTCCTACCCAAGAAAGGAAGATGATCCAAACAGAGAGAAACTGTGTGTGTCAATTCAATCCAGATATAAAGAGGGGAACTTCTCTGAGCTCACTGATCTATGAAAATAGGGCATATATGAATTAATTTCATCTTACTATCCCTTAACACTAGTTTTTTATGTCTGCATTACAATCAGCCAAAGTTAACTTTAACTAAGGTTTCTTCACCATGAAAAGAAAAGGGCTCATCAGGAAGGGGTTATTACAAGGCCTGTTACTGCTCATGGTTGGCTAACTGTTACCTCTGCACCAGAACAAAGAGAAAGACAGTCCATTTGCACACACTACAAATGAATACACCTCATTACAGTCAGTTAGATATAATACTTACTTCTTAAAAATATTAGTTTTAAAGTGACTACATAGCAAGTGCATTTTTCCTACTAGATGCTGTTGTTACAAGACTTCAAACAGTCGTTTATTTGGGTCACAAATACACACAGTTAGCCAGGATGCCTGTTGGTGATAAATCTCTCTTCAACACAGACATTTTAAAAGCTAAAAGATCATCTAAAAATAATAATCATTCCTGAATGCCTTAACAAAGGAAATTGATGCTATGCTGACGCACATGCATTCAATGTACCAAAACTTATAAATAGAATATCATAACCCTGTCAGAGAAAAAACCTACAAGATTTTTTAAAACTGCAAGTATTCATTCAAGAAACAGAATGGAGCTTATACCATACATGCAGAATTTGAGGAAAGGTCATACAAGTTTTTGAGTGCATGTAAAGAAGCTCTAGTAATGCCTAGATGGAATTCAAAAGTCAGTGACTCATCCTGACCACTTTGTCCCATTATCCATCAATTTCCATCTATTAGTTACCAACAAAATCACGAGTGGAACGAAGGAAGGAATTACTTTACATCTGCTCTGTAAGGAGCTAAGCTACCAGCTCTCCTCTACCTACCAAATGCAAGTGTCAGACCCACCAACATTCAAGAACAGAAGAATGAAATTCTGGAAATCAAATCCTGGCCTAACCCAAAATATAGCACGTATTGCCATCCTTGTACGCAACCAGACACTGTCATTAACTGCTTCCTAATTCTGGCTTCTTTGAAAGCTTCTAACTATAGTTTCAGCTTCACCATAACTAACTAAATTCATATATCATGCTAAGCCATAGTTTATTTTAATTATAGATTCCTGGACTAGCCACAATAGCTGGATCACACATAATCTAAGCATATTCCAAACAGACCTCATTACTGTTTAATGCAATGTGTGTGCCCAGCCTTGTTACAATGTCTGAAGAAACAAGGAATAGAACAGCAGCAAAAGGGTTAGGTACGGAAGGAGCAGCTTACAATCAGATAAGCTTCAGACGGCACTAAGCATTAGGACATGCATCTTCATAAACTTTTGAGTGAAACAGAGTCATGATTTCTTAGAAGTAATCCAATTGTTTATAGTATCTGTAGCAGAGAGGTATACTAGGCTGTAGCTGGACATCTCTTTTCAGATTCTACATCCAGATTTTAGTAAGCGAAAGGTGAATAGGATAGTGAAACCCATAAAGCTAGGTATGTGGAAAGGTTGTAACACCAGCATTTGTACTACTAATGGTTTGGGCCAAAACAGTGTTTGTATAATTTCTGTTTTCTGTTATGCCAAGCCAGACCACATGGCCAATGAACAATCAAACATGCTTTGGAAAGGAAGTCCTTCTGGAGAATGCTAATTTCCGGCTCCCACCCATTTATGTGCAAGTGCTGTTCAAGCATGATGACAAAATACATGTTAAAAATCAAGAAGAAAATGTAGATTGTTTTGAGAAAGCTGCTTTGAAGGGCTACACACACAGTTTCTATATAAATAAATAAAAATAAGAGTTTATTTTTGATTAATGCTAGACTTATTTTCTCACAATAGTTCTCTCCTCCACCCACATTTTCATTTCACAGCTGAAGATGGCATTCTGAGTGTTTCTTAGAACACTATCTATATCTCCTAGTTGATGGGAGGCAGGCAGCTATACATCAGCCTGCAAGGCAGTCCCCAGATTAGAGATGAGTAGTGTGAGTATGATCAGGATAAAATTGGGCTTTGGTTGTGCTTGGGCTTTAGTGGCCAAAATGTGCCCACATGACTAGCTCTGTGCTTATCCTTAGAAGGCTACAGGAAGACATGATAGCTGTCTTTAAGTATCTGAAGGACTGTCAGAAAACAGGTAAGGGCAGAATTGTTTCAGAAGATAAGACAAGAAGTCATCAGTTTAAATTACAAGGAAGCAGACATCAGTTAAATATCAGGAAAAAATTCTAGAAGGTAAGAACTGTCCCACAATGGAACAGATTGTCAGAGGAGGTTGTGACCTTTGCTGGAGGCATTTAAACACAAGGTACATGATCATCTGTTGGAGATGCTACAGGAGTAGATTTCTGCACTGGATAGGAGGTTGGATTAGATGATTTCCAAGGTCTACTCCAACACTTATATTCTGGGACTGTGGTGATTATCTGCTTAGAAAAAGATGTATTTGAATAATGTGAGTCTATTCATATATATATATGTATGTATGCCAACAGAATGAAAATAAATCTAAAAACAACTGATTCATGATGAATGACTAAGATAATTAATGAAAGATACAGGAGTTCTGACTGAGGGACAGATCATTTTTGGCAATCTCAGGAAAAGACATGTTTGAATTAAGGAAGCACCCACAGCTCACCCATACCTGCTACAAAACACCATGTCGCAGTCTACTGTAGCTTTAGAGAAACCAAATGATAAACAGATTTGAATTATGAAATGTTTTATGTGAATGTGGAATTTAAAGTTGGTTGCTGAATGCGATAAGAGCGCTATAGAAGATATAAGTAAAGCATACAAGAAAATAATTGGAATGCTTAGGTTTACCACTGAGCAGGGAACAAGACATAATGCATGATGTTCCTTTTTGGTGTTACAGATGTGATGGTTGTAGACTTTTCTGTGTAGGTGATGCTCTGCTGTTAACTGAGAATTTTTTTTTTTGTAGCAAATGTTGGGCGGTACGATCCACTGAGGAGTATGCTTCTGAAAACTAACATATCAAAAACCAAGGTAGCTGTGTTTGACAGGAAAAATGAACAATTGCAAGTTATACCTAAGTGTAAAATAAGCTAGACTAAATTGATTAATTAATGTACTTAGTTGTATTGTTTATTAAAATAACAGTTGGAGAAATTTTAGGATATGCAAATGCTGGTAAAAAGGTAATGGACAGCATGTGGTCTGATGCAAGGAATAAATGTTTACCAAACGATATGAAAATAGCTGCATGGAAAAGCATACTTCTCTGTTATATAGAAGTGAGAGTCAGGTGCAAAAGTGAATGACTAGTATGAAAAAAAGTACATGCTGGTCACTCATGGAGAACCTTTCGCAGGGGTGTGCGGAGGAATTTGCTCAGCTGTCACCTGTTGGACAAAATCACTTGGATTCACTTGCAGCTGGACACCAGTCTTGTTGGTCCAGAGGAGATGCCTGGGGTAGAGTATTGCCTGGTTATCTGGGAACGGTTTGAACCTGCTGGACCTGAGGAGGTCGACAGAGTCCTTAGGACTGTAAGCTTAGCCACCTGCTCTTTAGATCCATACCCCTCCTGGCCTTTGAAAGCAGCCTGGGGGGTGTTGTGCGAGTGGGTTCTAGTGGTGGTGAACTCTTGAGTGAGTGGGTTGTTCTTTACCTCTTAAAGAGGCCTTGGCTGGCCCCTTCTCCAGAAGCCATTGCTAGACTCCACTATGCTGGATAGGTTTCGTCCAGTATCTAACCTCCCTTGCCATGGGGTGAGGTATCATCAGTACGCTGATGATATTTAATTATCTGCCCCAGGCGAATTAAGTGATGCCGTGAACACCTTATCTCTTTGCCTGGTGGCTGTGAGGGTCTGGATGGGGAACAACAGGCTTCAGCTGAACCCTGGCCTGCTGGTTCGAGGACTATGCTATCCTTGGTACTGGATGGGGTTGCACTGCCCCAGAAAGACGCAGTGTGCAATCTGGGGGTCTTCCTAGACTTCTGCTCAAAGAGCAGGTGAGAGTTGTGGCTAGGAGAGCCTTTGCACAGCTTTGGGTTGTGCGCCAGTTGCACCCATTCCTGGATTGGGAGGCTCTGCTCACTGTGACTCATGCCCTAGTCACCTCCAGATTGGACTACTGTAGTATGCTGTACATGGGACTGCCCTTGAAAAGTATCCAAAAGCTTCAGTTGGTACAAAATGCAGTGGTGCAGGCAGTTATGTGCGCTCCTAGGACAGCATATGTTATACCTCTGCTCCGCGAATTGCCAATTTGCTTCCAGGTCCAATTCAAGGTGCTGCTTTTAACCTTTAAAGTCTTTCATAGCATGGACAGGTTATTTGAGGGACCACCTCTCCTCGATTATATCAGCCACCCCATTAGAACCAGGAGAGAGGGCATGCTGCGGATACCAACTGCCAGGGACTTACATCTGGTAGATCCCAGGCAGTGGGCCTTTTCTGCCATGTTGCCCGCCTTACAGAACATTCTTCCCCCTGAAATTAGGTTAACTCCATCCCTCCTGATATTTCGGAAGTCCCTCAACACCTGGCTATGTCACCAGGCCTGGGGGTCCCAGGGAACTGGAGATGTATCTTGATGACTCACTACTGAGGTGGATATATGCATTCTCTCTCTGCCTGAGGTTTGTATATTTTTAATTTTAATTAACTTCTATTTTTAATGTTGATTTTTTATACTTTTTAAATGGCTGTTTTTATATATTGTTTTTTATTTGATTATTGTATGCTGCCCAGTGCCGGTTCTCTTGAGATGGGCAGCAATATAAATTTGATTAATGAGTAAATCAAGATCAAATCAAGATCAAATCACCAAACAAATACACAATGGAAGGATGAACAGGCTGAGAAGGGAAAACCAAGAAAGTTGAAGTGATGGAATTGATGAAATGTCGAAAAAGAAAGAGGTGAGAAGCTTAAAGAAAGGCAATGTATGAAGCAATATACAGCTCAGAAACCAAGACAGAAAGGTATAAAGATATATGGTAAACAATCTTTATGTAAACTAGTTTTACCTATGTTTCCTTTCCTTTTTTGCACCCTGCATAATGTTGCTTACCCTGAAAGGGAATAGCAGAATTTGCACGCATGCTATTTTTTATTTGTAAACTACTTCAAGACGTAATGGTATGTACACATTTTTAGTTGATACGAAAATGATTGTTTAAAAACTTATACTGGTATTTAAACAAGGAAAGACCTGTTCAGCAGTAGGTATGAGCCATAAAGACAATTTTAGTGGCAACTAGTTTAGCATTAGACTCCATTCTAAAGGGCCATTTGGTCCACCAACCTTTTTGGATCAATTGGCTTCTAAACATAAGAGTAAACAGAGCAGCTGCCAATGCAACTGGAATTAGCCTGGTTGCAGAAGATTTTTAGAAACTTCATGGAGTGTCCACTTATTACAGGTCTCCTGCTCAATACCTGCACTTAGCAGGAGACTGGATTTGATAGCTCCTTCCAATTCTGGGATTCTTTCTTCTTGATGGGAAATGTTATTAGCCTTCAATTTTCAGAATATAAATAAACATGTTAATTTGGGGGCCGTCCACTAACCTAACATGCCATCTATAGGTTGTGGAAATACAGTATTTCTTTAAGAAAGCACTGGCACTCAAATAATTCTATCAATTAATGTGGTTCTCTGCTACTGCAGTTGTTTATTCATTATGTCTCACCATATTCAGAGTATGACTAAGCTGTAGGAATTTTAAACAGCATTTGGGCAGAGGTGGGTAAAGGGAACACAGCAGAAGAGGCACAGAGGGGCAACAACACAGGGATTTATGGCTAGTGGAAAAAGATAGGAGGTTGCAGTGAGGACTGGAAACAAGAGATGGTGACAGGACAAGACAGAAAGGTGGTGCTGGTCAAAAAGGAGAATGACAAGATAATGATACTGGAGTTTGTTCCCGGTGGGAAGGACCAAAGGCAACAGCAGGTTGAGACAGAGAGGCACAAGTTTCTCATGAGCAACAGAATTACGGAAAGACGACCTCTAGGATTGTATTTGGCCCTCTGATATGGGTGCACAGCAGCTCTGACAGCCAGTAACTGTGTTCTTATGCTCAAAAGTTTTCAGATTATCTGGCTCAAGTGATCCCAGAAATACAGCTCTACTCCAATCATTTATTGCGCTATTATAGTACCACCTTTACAAAATATTAAATGTGAATAATCTATTTACTTAACAACATTATGAATTGTAGTATATTATTACAAAAAATCATTTTACTGAAATGCAAGGTTCCTGTTTTGAAAATATCCTTTTGTTTAAGCTGCACTGCAAGTTGCTGTTTCTGAAGACTAAAAACTTAACAGAATAAATCTTTAGTACCTGTTTATGCCTCTGAAAGTTTTATAAGCACTGCTTACAAGTAAACAAAGAGTGGTAGTACTTTATTATTGCTTTATTAATATTCACTGAGTGCTGATAATTTTAAAAATATTTTAATGCAAAATTAAGTGATCCAGCATCTAAGGCATAGTATCTGAACAATTTTACTTTGGTAATATGTAGGTTAAGAAGATGGCCAACAAAGCACTACAAAACTTCTTCAAGCTGCTAGTTAAAACAGAGATCTGATGTCTTTTTGTACTTGTATCTTTTGCCCCTTGTGATGCTACTGGGATTTTTTTATTATTCTTTATGGGTGAGTTTATTTATTTTTATTGAAGGGATTCTATGTTTTTGATTGCTAGCCCCTTAGAGCCCTTAGGAATGAGTGGCAGACAAATCTAGCAAATAAAATAAATCAAATTCAACCATTCTGGTTCAGTTGGCATACAGAAGACAGTTAAAATAATCAGATATTTTAAAGACTTGAAAAGGTTTCTTACCAGCATACATGTGGAATGTAAGTCTCTCAATCAGTTTGACAACAGTTCCTGCCTTAATAATTGGGATTCCAGATTTGGGCTGCATGTTTTCTTCAAAAATAATATTTTCTGTAGAATCAGGTTCTGCAAATCTATATAGCTCAGGACTTGGAAATCTCATCTGCTCCTCTTTCTCTTCTTGCAACATTGTTACATCTAACATGCGTTCCAGGGTACTTCTGTACTGTAAAGAGATCAAGGCTGCCATCCAGTTGTTCTTCTCTTCAGCCGATTTAGCAGCAAAAATAACACTGTTCTCATCTTTTAAAATGATTTCAAAAGCATGCTTGTACTCATTAGTGTTATCTTTGTCATTGATCTGTACCTTTCGCATAAGAAATTTCTCTTTCAGACGATATTCTGCATTGCTAGCACCAGGCAGTCTTGGTTGGCCATGATTCGATTTACAACAAATCATCAGACCATCAAAGAGAAATATATGTCTTTCATGTTTGGCACCCACACGTGTGAGGGTTCCCTCCATAATAAATTCATTGCAGCACTGTCCAATGTCTTTACCCTCCCAGCCATCAATATTCTTCTGGATCTCGTTCATTTTCTTGATTGCTAGCTGCTTCCCCTTCATTTGTTGACTATAGAATCGGCATGCAGATTCACTTTGAAAGAGGAGCAAGATGATATTTATTTATACAGTAACAATCACATATTTAGCAGAAAAATAACATGTTTGTTGACAACTAATGTGGAGAAGAATTTAATAGGATCTAGAAGATATGATAGAAAAGAAATCAGCGAGTTAGCTTCAATTATATGCAGAAGTTTCAGATCTGAAAGCACTGTCATAGTTAAAGATGTACTGACAAACTAACACAGATTCCCAGTTAGTCAGCCTTGTTTAAACTGTACAGTAGCAATTAATCCTTTATTAACAAATAAAAGAATATAAACAACCCTAAACATTTTGACTTTCCATTCTTATGGACTTTAATCACCGTACGCCCAAATCATTACCAAATGAGTTAGTATGAAAAGTTGTTAGATGCTCTAAATTAAACTGCAAGATATTTTTGTTTGGATAATAGTTAATAAAAACTATTTTTCTTTCTGCTTACCAGTAGATTCTCAAGATGCATTTACTAGAAGCATGAAGACAAACACATACACACACACAATTTTAAAACAATAGGTATCCGGACTTCGATGTCACTTCCTCTGAAAAATCATATTGTTGCAAACTACTTTGTTCATTATTTACTAAGAAAGGAAATGGAGAAATCCAGATTTATAGCACAGTGCTCCAGGACTCAAAGTAGGGAAAAAACGGAAATACGTTTACCTAAGCCTTCTCTTTGCGAGACTTTTGGAGCATATCCTCTCCATACTACTCTGAAGATTAAGCAGGGCTGTAATTGCTTGCTTCAAACACTCTTTGTCCTCTTCATCTTCACTTTTCTCTTCTAATTGCTATGAACAGGAAAAGAATACTTTATATGATTATAGAACCTTATAGGTCAGGTTTTATCTTTCAGTGGAAAGCAAGGGTTTCCTTTTGATGTAGTTATGCTTGCAATAATCTAACAAATAATAACACTATGAGAGGAAAGGGACAATTAATCTAAGTAAATCTGGTGATTATATGGAAACATCAATGCTGTATAATATTCTTAGCACAGAACTGAGTTGGCATAGATGCTGCCTTGAGAATGGATGAAAAATAAGCACAACTTTCATTATACCAGTTCTTTGTTGGTTCTCTGCCTCAAAACAGTATCTAATTTGGCAAGCCAGTTTTAACAGGTCAATTTGAGGTGGTGGGACTTACTGGAAGTGAGAGATAACATTGACCAGGGAAGGGAGTAGAAGTGGGAGTGTGATGGTGGGGAGGAAGGAAGAGAGAACAGCATTGGAATCCTCTCAATTCACTTTGGTTGGGATCTTTTTTTTCATAGTAGTTTTATTAAAAATAATTACGATAAAAAAACTAATAAACTAAAAAAGAAAAAATAGAAGGTGCAGAAAAGAAAATAGGAAATAAGAATATAGTAAAGAAAAAGTAAAGAAATATAAAGAAATGATTTCCCCCTTCATCACAAGTATAAACAATTTTACTAACTTATCACCTTCTCTTAAAATACAACAAATGATCCCTTCCCATATGTTATCTATAAACCAATCCTTAAATCCTCATAATAGAAGGTGCAGAAAAGAAAATAGGAAATAAGAATATAGTAAAGAAAAAGTAAAGAAATATAAAGAAATGATTTCCCCCTTCATCACAAGTATAAACAATTTTACTAACTTATCACCTTCTCTTAAAATACAACAAATGATCCCTTCCCATATGTTATCTATAAACCAATCCTTAAATCCTCATCATTTCAGTCCTGATCAGTAGAAGTCCATTAAGGGTTATCAGAGATAACAACATATGTATTTTAACCTTGATCAAATAAACCAATTTTATATTCCTTTTACTTTTAACAATCTTGATCTTTAGTTTCTTCAAATAATGTCCTAGAACTTTTTTTTTCATTTTTTCTTTATCCCTTCTCACAAAATTCTTCAAAACTTTAACAAGCCTCTTTTGAAAAATCTAGTATAGGAAAATTATCCAGGTCACTGTCTTGATTTGTTATTTGTATATCCCTTTTAATAATTAAGATATCAGCTGGTTTCTTTTGTATGTCCAGTGTAGCATCTTCTTCCATATCATTCTTGTAGTCTGTCTGTCCTGCTTCAGGTTTCAACCCTGCACACTCACACACAATCGCTTATGGAGTTTAGCAATTTTACTCCAAGGCTGAAGAGATAACAGTGAACAAAGGAATGTAAACAGAACTGAGGCTTGCCTGAAGAGTTTGCTTTCTAAATAGGAGCATGCAGAACAGTAATCCAATCCAAATCCAGGGCTCCAAGACCCAGGTCAGGGTTGTCAGCCAATCCAGAGGTCAGAGGTTCAAGGTTTCAAACACAAACAGGATTTGCAGAAATGTTACATGAGAGCCAGAGGTCAAACATCATTTCTAGCAAAGAAAGCATGGGTCAGAGCTGCTTCTTAAATAAGGCTGTGGCCAGCTGTCACTAATCAGATTTACTCCATTGCTTGGCGAGGAGCCTAATAGACCTTTGCTGCTCTGCTCTCTTCTCTACTCATCGGGTGCAGGGCTGGGAGGCCTTATGTCATCCTCAACTGACTTCTCCAGCTGCTCAGATGGTGCCTGTGGTTGATCAGCCTCATGTGATTCCTGGCTTTGTCTCTTCTGAGGCTGACATTCCACTGGCTCAGCTGGAGGAGCTTTTTCAGAGTCAGATTCAGATTCAGAATCTGAGTCCTGACCCTGGGCCATGACAGTGCCATTTTTAAATCCACTTTCAGATCAGTCTCAGTCTTGTCCAGTAAAAATTGCTCCTCTTCCATAACATCTTTTAAGCACAGTCTATCTGTAGAGGCAGAAAAACTTAAAATAACTTCTGGGTCCATTGTCTAAAACTATCCTTCAATATGTCCAATGTTAAAATATTTTGCTCCATTCTGGATTTAGTAAGTCAAACTTAAGTGTTTTTCACCTTTAATTGTAATCTTTAGTTTCTTCTAGTGTCCAACCTTCAAAGTTCCTTCAAAAGAATTCAAAACAAAAGCATTGTCTCACAGGAAGGATTCTTATAATTAATTCCAAAATCTTATTTCAAATTCATCTGGACCCTTGGTCTATTTGTAACTTTCCAAAATCAAAGTTCTAATCACCCTTTTACTGTTTATTAAAAAAAAATTTTTTTTAAAGCCCTTAAACTGTATTTAACACTTCTTTCGCTAAGGATTGAAGAAAACTCACCTGGTGTTTTCAGACTAGTCGATCTGAAGGTTCCTAATAGCTGAAAAGCAGTTAACAAGCAATTTCCTAGTGGGATTGGAAAAGGAATCATGCGAACCCAGTGTCCTTTTGAAGGCGCCAACTGTGGTTTGAGCAAGATGGCTATTCCCTTGTCTCCCAGAGCTCTGCTATAGACCGCTGTCTTGTGGTCTCCTCACAAGGAGCAACTGTCTGGAGCACTTGTGGGCAATCTCAAGTCCTTTTCTTGTCCAGAGAGAAATTATGAAGAGCTGGTTTACTCGCCAGCTCTTCATTCCACTGCAGTTGTCAGCTCCACTTTTGTGGAGCTGTCTTCAGTTCGCCATTTCTTCCCCGGAAGTCCACTTTGCTTTGGCTCTTCACAAACCTAGCAGTTTTTCTGCAACTGCTTATGTATCTAAAAGGATTACTGCAAGATTCAATGAAATTTCCCTATTTTTTCCCAAAATCTTTGAAAGAAAGAAAGGTACAAGAAATACATCCATGTCTTCATGAAGAAGCATAAAGAAAAAGCAAAGCGTTTTGTTTTATTTTTATTGACTGCAGTGGAACAGGGGGAGGAAATTCAGAGCAGTGGCACTGGTCTTAGTGGGAAATTAGCAGGGGGAGCCCTGAGGTACACTGAGGAGAATTTTGAGGTCCATACGTGGTCTGCCTAGCATCCACCTCCTCAATAAATTATAAGGTGAGAGGTTTTTTAAAAAAATACCTTTGTTTCTGCAATAAGCTCTCTAATCAACAGTACATAATACTGTACATCAACACTAAGTTGATCTAAATAAGAGAACTGCAAAAGTACAAAACAACTTTAGAACAAAGTATAGTCTGAGTTATAGGTATACCATTTATTTCCATTACGTGTGGATTTCTTAGAGTTTCAACACAGAAGACAGAGTCAATGTGGTGAATAGCTGCTAGAATAGGAGCAGGGAGATCCAGCGGGGTGGGTGACTTTGGACCAGTCACCCTCTCTCAGCTTAATCTATTTCATAGAGCTGTTATTATGGAGAAAAATAGGAAAAGGGAGTGCTATGCACGCTCTCACATGTCCCTGGATGGAAGGTGGGATATAAGTCTAAATAAATAGGAAACAAACCCTGAATTTATAATCTTTATGTAGACAAAGCAACATAGCAAATTCTGACGTCTTTAACAAAAATAAAAAAGTTGGAGTTTTCTTTAAACTTTAGTTAACATGATACAAAGCATTATGAGTAAATAGTCTGGTTATACATGAAGAGAACACTTAGATTCTTCCCCATTCCCTAGTTAACAAATTTACCCTACAGGGACATATACACAGAGATGATGGAGATTCTGAACTAGCAGTGTTGAAATGTTTCAAGCTAAAAATACTGAAATTCCCAAAAATGGAAAACTTTTTTTAGGGAGGTACCACTGGCAATTTATTGAAAACTTCACAAATATTAGATGGAATTATTTTTTCTTACCTTTAAAAGTTCGAAATAGTGAAGACAATGGTAAACAGGAACTAGAAGTAGCCTAGGTAAAACATACTGAACAGCTTCTTTAAAACCATATCCAATTGACTGGAAATTAAAAAAAAAATATTTCAGTGTTATGGATAACTCTTACAATATACAGTGGTACCTCTACTTACAAACTTAATCCGTTCCATGACTCTGATCGCAAGTCGAG